GTCCTTTTTACTCCCAGCTTACACAGTTTCAAGTCAGGCGGCAGTGATTTTTTAAAGGCAAACTGACTAACTGATTTGCACTTACCGTAGCAAATCCGCAACCTGTTCGGGCCTGAGATTCAATGGATGTGAGAACATCGACGCCGACCTCGAGCAGGTAGGGATCTCGAGTCGCTCTGTATAGGTGCATAACGGATTCTATGAATTCTGCAAGTAGAGAAGGAGACACGGGGACGCTATTTCATCTATCCGGAGAAAATATGACATTCTAGTAAATAATAACTTAAAGAGAAATTGCCCAGTCACACAAGCCCAACCGCACATACAGGAATTATTAAGCAGGCGTGTTGGTGCACAAATAAGATGACGATTTTTAGTGCATAAACAGTGCGGATAGTTGGAGGCGATCAACAGGTACCGCAGATGAGAGCAGTCTTTCCAGAGTCTGCTGGTGGATATTAATATGCGCAAATATTCAGGGTCCAGGTATCATATCGTGCTCATCTGCTTCCTCTTCTGGGGATGATGAGCAGGTGGATATGTATATATCTGTATATATTGAAATATTGGCATCCCAAGATGTTAATTATGAGAATGGGCGCACACCGATCTATTGGCTTCTCCAAACACGAATGATTTTTATGGGTGGTAGGGGCCACGAACAGACAGCCACCTGCCAAACAGAAGTTAGTCAACTTATAACAGCAAAAGAGGACGACAACGTTTGGTAGAATATCTGTAAAGAACCATTTTGGGCTTATTTGTTTTCATTTATCCATTCATGACACAGAGAACCAGCTGGGACCGGAAACACAAATATGTGCTCACACACACACACACCTGGCGCACATGGTCAGCCAGATGGGTCATAAGCACTTCGTAGAACCAAAGTTCATCAGCGCCTCGCCGCCTGTTGTCCTCTGCCGCCGCAGATAGGGTATTTATTCCCTCGGGCAGGAGCGCATACCGATCCATTCTGCTACTGCTGCGTGACGCTGTAGCGAGGGGTTCAGTTCCGCAGTGGGTCTCGCAGCGTCTTCTATGCGGTTTTTTGTATATGAATTTCGGAGAATAATCCAATGCCAATACTTTCAGAAATTATTAAATGTACGACATAGACTTATGTGTCAGAAACACAACGTTTTAGGGTCAGAACCGAAAGGTTAATGGAAACATGTATACACATATAGGCCGAAATACATAACTGGCAAAAACAAGGGAGGCTGGAACGGCCATTTCTGACTCCTTGACTATCATCAGCCAGCCATACTCAACCCCAAGTGGAGCACCACCTGAGGCTTGAACACGTGATCCGTTGATCAGAAGTCATGCACTCTAACCATTGAGTCAGGGGCTCGCTGTCTTCTCGGTTTTACATCAGGACTATTGACATTTTTTGATAACGCTCGGTTCGAGGCTCAAAGAAGGCTCCGAGGTACAACGGAACGAGTGAGTTCTGTAACCGATCGCTGAACGCCTAGGTACCATTGTAC